TGACAAAATTATTAATATTTATTATTTAACATATTAAAATCAATCAATAAATTGATATTTTTAAATATTATAATTGATTATTTATGAGAAAAATATCAATTTATTGATTGATTTTAATATGTTAAATAATAAATATTAATTATTTTTAATAATTAAATTAAATTTAAAATTTAATAATTTTTTATGTCGATTCCCCGAAGTAAGGCGGCCACAACCATTGGCCCACCAAACCACCCCGTAATTTTGTTCACGAGTTCAGACGAACCATCCCTCGGTCAGATCATGTGCCAAGCGGTCAATTTCAAGCCTTATATAACGAACACGTGTTCTGATCTCATTCGTTAGATCCGACACGAACCAATTTCACAACCAAAATGAAAACGACAACCAGGTTTTTGGTCTGGGCTGTGGGCCTGTTGTCGGCCCTTTAGTCAAGGATAGAACAGTAATTTCGACATATCCAGCTATCAGCGCATCAGAATCTAAAGAATTTTTCTTTTTTAAAAGAAAAAATTAATTTTATTTAATTTTTCTTGGACAGAAGAAGAGATCCTTAAGTTAAGACTGGTAAAAAAAAAAAAAAAAACTCTTTCACAGATTCTGTTTTTTTTTTTTTCCCTTTATTTTTAATGTTTTTGCATATTCTGTCTCAGGCATGACTTTTTCACTTTTTATTTCAGCCATAAGAAATTTATCCAAAAATTATTTTGACTATAAGGATTCCATTATTGAATATGTTGGACTATGGATTTTTGTGTATTGCTTATCGCCTGAGAAGATTGTTTCAATTTGATTTGATTAGTGAGGTCACAGCCACATTGGTTTCTAGAGAATGGAGTGCACACCATAAAAATATAAAAGAATTTGAATATTTTGTAGTTTATACTATAAAATATTAGTTATTGGATGAAAAATTTTCTTTTAATATCAATTTTTAATTTTAATTCAAAAAATAGTGTTTTACGATGCTATGCAATTGAAGTTGTAAAATACTTTTTTTTAATGAAATATTGAAATAATTTTAATAAATCTTTTTCAATAAACATATATAAATGCAATTTGGACTAAAAAAAAATATGTGATGGTTTTTTTCTATCTTAAAGGGTTCTTATGGGAAATGAGGTGGTGCGCAGTTGATTCTCATTGGTAATCCAAATTGAATGACAAGATTTCAATTGAGTCTTACTATGAGAACCACCATGGAAATTGAAGAGAGATTGTTCCCTATTTATAATTTTAATCTATTTTTGAGAACAATACATGGTTGATTTGAGCACTTATAATTTTAATCTTATAACGAATTAGATACTGTATTACTTTAATAATTATTTATTTATAAGATGAGTTTTATATATTAAAAAAAAAACAAAAATTCAAGATATTTTATCATTAAAAAATTAAAACCATTCAATTATAATCAATTGAAACCCTGGTTATCCTTCATTTAATAATAATAATTGAATATTTTGATACTTCTAATGTGAACATCTTAATTTTTCTTGTCCTTTCATATCTATTCCCTCTTCTTCTTCTTCTTCTTCTTCTTCTTTTTAAATAATTATCATTTTTTTATTTTTTTTAAATTAAAGATTTAAGGATAATTTATGTATTTATTTATATTACCCTAAAAAAATAGATAAAGAGAGACTTTTTGTAATAAGATAATTAATCAAAATAAATAGATAATGATAGAGTTAAAGTATAAAAATATTTATTTACCTTAAAAATAAAAAAAAAAAATAATTTACAATAACTTCAAAATAAAAAACAATAATTATTTTAAAATAAAATGAACATTAGCAAGATCGCAAGGTATATTAATTTAGCAAAACTACAGTAGGGAGTTGAAACGAGCAGGGTTTGAAAGCTTTGTCAAATTAAAAGAATAGTACTTGATTACATGGTAGCTTGCATACCACATGTTCATAAAGTTTATGAGAGATGGAAGAACGGATGAAAATATTTTAGCATCAGCTGGTTGACGAGCGGAGTATTTCTTTTGGATGGTGCTTAAGAATTCCCCCAACATTGGTTAAAGGTTGAACAAGAGTCTAAAGACAAAAATGAGCAATGAAAGCTCACCCACGTAACCAACAATAAGTGGGCCAATCAAATAATAATACGTGGTAATAGTATCATAAATGAGAGTTATAAATATATATTTTTTATTTTTAGAAAGTAATAACTCTACTATATTTTTCTTTTTGTAATATCAAATTTATAAACTGTTTATATCCTAAATTACAAAAATTTTAAATCATGTCACACATAAAAAAAATTTAAATGGATGAAAGAGATTTTATCATGTCAAATATATAATTTTGGGTCTCATGACAAATCAACTGACACATAGGAAAAAAAAAGAGATAAATAAATAAGATTTTATCTTTTATTTATTTTTTGAGTTAAATTGGATCTGTATTAACTGAAATATAGGAGGAAGTTTTAGTTATGGATGTGGGTTATCAGATAATAAGATAGGTGGCAAATTTTGGAAGGGAGTCTGACCTTTCAACTATTGAGGTGTCCCACTACATTAAGAAACCACCTATGATGTTTGTAATTGTCGAAAGTGAGAAGTTATAGTCGAAAAAAAGAGAAACAAAAAGGAAATTTTGGATCAGGTCAACCCCTACACACAACCTGCAAATTTTTAGATTTTTAATTTCTCTGCAATTGCTCACTTTTGCTTACAGATTTTGAATTTTAGCACAATTCCTAATAGATTTAGGTTGTTTTCCATTATTTTAGTGGTTAAATTAGTTCATGTATTCACTTTAGCAATTTTGTTTCATGTAATGAACTACAAGCTTTTGGATTTTTACTGTTCCTTTTCTAACTATAATTAGTTTAATGTTTATGATAAGTAGTGTTCCATGAAATGATTATTTATATAGTATTCACACTTTTTAATTTCAAACATGTTAGTTTAATCACCGTTCATATTTAATTTTAATGTTATTTAGGGTTAGATTTCAAAATCTACA